CATAGTGGCCCCTGGTCCCACTGTAGCTGTTTTCGCCCTGCCAGGCCAAGCCTGGCGCGCAGCCCTGTGGCCGACGACCTGGCGGTGTTCGCCCCGTCCCCAGACATGCGCTGAACTCCCTGGGATCTCCAAGTTACTACGGCCTTCAGCCGTGCCTACCTCGTTCTCCTGGGAGCAACGCGAGACGCGGATGGACGGGCAGTCCAGCGTCGCGGGTCGTTACGCCGAACGTGCGGAAGGCCCACCTGGTCCGCCTGCGCCCCGCTCCGACTGGGCCGAAGACCTCGCCCGATTAGCGCCGCCCACCGGTGCCGTGCGTCACTACCCTGGCTGCTGCACTGCTTCGGAGTATGACGAGTACTCGGTCCTTCTTCGTTGCTTTCCCGCGCGTTCAGGTGTGCGGATCTCCCTGGGGCTCTGTGACTGTGAGGGTCTTGCTGTGGGCATACGACTGTTGCGTTCCTTCAAGCGCTTCCCCACATGGTTGTGTGGGTCGCCTGGCGCTGGGTCACATAGTTGTTCGGTGCACGTCCATTCCCGAGCGACCTCGCGTTCTCACAGAGTGGCTACCCGTGTACCCCTGCTGCGTCCAGGTAGATCGCTGGTCCTCTGAACGCAGGCGCATCGCTCAGCAGTGGTCGGGTCTTGCCTTTGCCTGTTCGGCCTTAGGCTTCCCCTTGCGTGGATGCGTTTTCTGATGCTGCGACGGTTCGCTGGCGCTGTCAGATCCTCCTCCTGCTGGACGACGTCACCAGTTTCAGTCTGCTCATACCCGTCAGACTCCCTGGACTGACTTTCCCGCACGGAGATCGTTCCTTACCTCGCGGTTGTCTCGACACGATCACGACCTGGAACGCACTGCGCGCCATTTTGGCCGCGCCTGGCCCGCCCGGGTGGCTGACCTCTCAGACTCCCTAGGTTGCAGCTTGCACGACCGCCTCAGGTGACTGACCTTTCAGACTCCCTGGGATTGCACGACCGCCTGGTCTCTCAGACGCCCTGGGTTGCCGCTGCTTCGCCGCCTGATCCGCGGCCCCGCGCGCGCCCGGGAATTTTGTCGCGGCCGCAGCCCGACCGTGACTGCTCGCCGCCGGCGCTTCCGCCTGCGGCTGTAAAAAAAAGTACCCCCATCGGCCCATCCAGAACCGATGCCCAGACGAGTTGCCTGGATCAGGGATGTGGAGGAGCATGCAGCGAATAAAGGGCTGTGTGAAACGTCATACCCCGAGAGGAGGGAGGATGGATGGGGATAGGAGGAGTAGGGATAGGGGATTGGGAGAAGGGAGGAGAAGGATGAATAGGCGGACGAGGAGGAGGAGGAGGAGGAGGAGGAGGAGGAGGAGGAGGAGGAGGAGGAGGAGGAGGAGGAGGAGGCGAGGAGGAGGAGGAGGAGGAGGAGGAGGACGAGGAGGAGGAGGAGGACGAGGAGGGGGGAGGAGGAGGAGGACGAGGAGGGAGAGGAGGAGGAGGACGAGGAGGAGGAGGAGGGCGAGCAGACACAGTCCAGAGGTCTCTTGGATGCTTCTCGGAGTCTCTTCGGATTTCTCTTGAGAGCTTCCTGTGGGCCTCCTGGGGCGTCTTGGGGTCCTCTCGGCGGTCACCTCTGGAGGCGTCCCGGATGCCTCGGGGGGAGTCTTTTAGGGCCTCTTGGGAATCTCTTGGAAGCCTCTTTTGGACACTTTGGGGGCCGTTTTGGGCCTCCTGGACGCCTGGGCCTCCTGGACGCCTCTTGGGGCCCTGTCGGGGCACTCTTGGGAGCGTTGGGGGCCATCTCGTGCCATCTCGAAGGATGTCGATCAAAGAATGGGGGTGCACAATTAGCGTCCCCCACAGGAGGCCTAACTGGGTCCAACACATTGGTAAAATCACTGATTTTTGCCTTGCCGCCGAGGCCGTCTTGGACGCTCCAACCCCTCGCGGGGCGCCCCGTCCAGGTCCAGGTGGAGCGGGTTGGGGGAGGGTTCAGCCCCTCCCCGAAGGGGAAGAAGGGGGTTGGAAGACGATTATAAGGACACTTCGACCACGTATGTGTCCACATACGTTCTACCGGGCGGGCTGTGTCACCTATGTGTCCATATACGTTCTGCCACGTATGTGTCCACATACGTTCTGCCAGGTGGAACGCGCGCACCCGCCAGCCCATCCAAGGACGACGCCAAGCCGAATTGAGGTGATCAGGGAAGTGTAGGAGCAATAAGGGGGGAATCCATTATCGTTCGGAACAGGAAGAGGATGGGGAAGGGAGGAGGGATACTGGTGCATACTACGCGGATGATGATGATGATGATGATGATGATGATGATGATGATGATGATGATGATGATGATGATGATGATAATGCTGTTGATGATGTTGATGATGATGATGATGTTGCTGATGATGATGATGCTGACAATGGTGATGATACTGATGATGATGCTGCTGATGCTGATGATGATGCTGATGATGATGAACATGATGATGCTGCTGATGCTGATGCTGATGCTGTTGTTGTTGATGATGGTCCAGATAATGATGAGACTGGAGATGCGGATGCGGATAATGAGGATGCGGATGTTGATGATGATGCTGAGGATGATGACACTGATGATACTGATGATGTTGCTGCTGCTGATGATGATTATGATGATTGTGATGCTGCTGCTGATGCTCATGCCGATGATGATGCTGATGACGATGATGATCGTGACGTTGGTGTTGATATTGACGACGGCGATGGTAATGGTGATTATGCTGATGATGATGGCGATGCTGATGCTGATGATGATGATGATGATGATGATGATGATGCTGATGACGATGCTGATGTTGCTGATGGTGATGCTGCGGCTGGCACTGATGACGACGACGATGCGGATGATGACGATGGTGCTGATGATGATGCTGATGATGCTGATGATGATGACGATGCTGGCGATGATGCTGGTGATTCTGATGGTGATGATGACGATGCTGATGATGATGCTGGCGACGACGATGATGACGCTGACGACGAGTAGGATGATGGTGATGATGCTTATGATGATGCTGATGCTGCTGCTGCTGATGATGATGATGATGGTGCTGATGATGCTGATGATGGTAATGATGGTGCTGATGATGGTTATGACTCTGCTGCTGATGGTCATGATACTGCCGCTGATGCTGCTTATGCTGCTGCTGATGCTGATGATTACGATGCTGATGACGATGATCATGATACTCATGATGATCTTTATGATGCTGATGATGCTGATGATGATGCAGAGGATGAGGATGAGGATGATGCTGATGCTGATGCTGATGATGCTGCTGATGATGCTGTTGCTCATGATGATGATGATGATGACGATGATAATGATGATGATGATTCTGATGATGATGATGATGATGATGATGATGGTGATGATGATGATGATGATGATGCTGATGATGATGATGATGATGATTCTGATGATGATGCTGATTACGATGATGGTGATGCTGATGATGATGGTGACGATGATGATGATGATGATGATGATGATGATGATGATGATGATGATGATGATGATGATGATGATGATGATGATGATGATTATGATGATGATGATGATGATGATGATGATGATGATGATGATGATGATGATAGTGATGCTGCTGCTGCTGCTGCTGCTGATGATGATGATGATGATGATGATGATGATGATGATGATGGAGGAGGACGAGGAGGACGAGGAGGAGGATGAACGAGGGAAGGACGAGAAGGAGGCATGATAGGCGGAGGAGGAGGAGGCATGATAGGCAGAGTCCTCGTGGAGACCTCTTGTGGTGTCTTGTGGGTCTCTTGACGGCCCCTGGGGCACCTTCAGGCGTCTTGGGTGCCTCTGGGGGGCACCTTGGGACCTCTTGGGGGGAACGTGTGGGCCTCGTGGGGGCGTCTTGGGAGTCCCTTGGGGCCGCTAGGGTGCTGCCGTCTTGGGACTCTCTTGGAAGTCTCTTGGGGGCCTTGGAGGCATTCTTGGGAACCTCTAGGAGGATATCGATCAGAGAGGCGCTCTTGGGACGCTCCTGGCCGCTCTTGGGGCCGTCTTGCGGCCATCTTGAGCCTCTCTTGGGGCCCTCTTGGGCCATCTTTGAGTCATCTTGAGGTCTCGGGAGCTCATCGGAAGCGAACGGGCGAGGCAGCCACAATCATTGATTTACCTAGTTTTGTAACGAATCTTGGCCCTTTTGGGGCCTCTTCCGGAGTCTCCGCGGCCACTTGGAGCAATCTTTGGGCCATCATGGGGCCTCTCGGAAGCATCTTGGAGGACATCTTGATCCAGCTTTGACCATCTTGCGCCATATTGGAGGCCATCTTGACGCATCTAGGGCCATCTCGGGGCCCTCTAGGGGCAAAGGCCTCCGAAAGATGCAGCCGAAAAGCAGAAATCCTTCAACACCCTTGTGTTTTCAATGCTTCTGCTGATCGGAGACGGGGTACACAATCAGCGTCGCCCCCCTTGAGCCCCCCAAATCGCCTCTTGGGGTCCTCCTGGGGCGCCCTTGGCGCGCTCGTGGGCGCTCCTGGGGTCGTCCTGGGGCCACCTTGGGCCCCTCCCGGGGCCATCTTGGGCCCTCTCGGAGCCATCTCGATGCCTCGGAAAGCCATCGGAAACGACAGGGCTAAACTCATTGATTGCCATCGGGTGTTTGAAGGATTTTGGCCTCTTGGGAGGGTCCTGGGGAGGCCTCCAGCCCACTTGCGCCTGTCTGTGAAGAGTCCTGGGTCTCTGGAAGCATGTGAGAAGCCATCTTGAGGATTCTTTCACTGTCTTGGGCCATCTTGGAGGTCACTTTGGGCAACCGGACGCCCTTTTGGAGCCATCTTGGGCCATCTTGGACGCCCCAACGCCTCGCCGCCCCCTCCCCCTTCCAGGTCCAGGGTGAGGGGTTAGGGGGAGGGGTGAACCCCTCCCCGAAGGGGAAGCAGCTGGTTGGAGGAGGAACCTGAGCCGCTCACGCCCAGAGGGCTGGTGGGATTCCTGGGCCCCCGCCAGGTTCGGCAGGCGGGCGAGGTGGAGAACGAGATCTTCGACGCCTTCATGTCGGTCGGGGGGGGGGGGGGCGGCCCCTCGGGAGTTTGGCGGGAGACGGCAGGCGAGGCGGCCCTTCCGGCGCGAGACGGCGGCGATCGCTGGGGGTGTCCGAACCGCCCGCGGCCCCAGCCATGGAGGGGGAGGAGGAGGAGGAGGAGGAGGAGGAGGAGGAGGAGGAGGAGGAGGAGGAGGAGGAGGAGGAGGAGGAGGAGGACTCTGCTGGACTCTGCTGAGCGCCGCAAAGCGGCCGATCAATCACTGTCATCATCCACCGCTGACGCTCCGCCACGCTGCTGCCCAGGGCCTCCGCTGCCGCACGAGCACGACTCTCGGGGCCTCGCAGCCACCTCCCTCAAGGCAGCGGCGGCAGCAGACGGGCCAGCGGCAGCAGCACGGGGCGCCTCATCGTAGCGCATGGTGGCCGCCGTGTCGCTCGGGTGGCGTCTCGACGCCACTCTCAGGTATTCATCTAACAGATCATGATCAGAATCCCTCCCCTCTAACTCCGAGCCACGAGCAGGTGAGCCTTCCACCAGGGGCCCGCAGGCGGGGAGGGAACATCGCACAGCGTCTTCTGTCTGGGCAGCCATCACAGACACTGGTGGGCCACGATAGCTCGGAAACAAACCTTTCTGAATTCTGCGCAAATTCTCCCCTCCTTTGCGGGTGGGGGGGGAGCACACACCAGACAAATGCCTAGCATCAGCAGTGGCCGTGCGACCACAAGTCATACAGAAGAACAGACCATATGCTTTCATCTTGGCGAGCTGGTGGCTGGGGTGCAACAAAACTCCACCAACTCGCACTTCGCCTGAGGCCGCCTCGAAACCCTCACCATACTCCGCAGGCAGGCCAGTGTTTTCAGCCGCGTCCAGCTGCGGGGCGAGGGACTGACCAACACATTGGGTCGAGGCGACCTGGAAAAGCTTACTACGCGGGATAATATCCTTGCACAACTTACACCTCCAGCGCCCCGCAAAGGGCACGAAGACATGGGAGCTCCTGGCCAGGGCCGTCTCCAAACGGGTTGGCCTACGCTGCTGACGCTCGCGGGCAGGTCTCTCGCCAACCCAAGGTTCAACCTCGAGCGCCATCAGCAGAGCCCTCCGAGCTCTGAGCCTCACCAGTGCCGCCGTCGTATCCCACAAGTCGGTACGGGGGGCAGGGGTCGTCACACACCACTCCCAGGCCCATTGGGCCGCGGCTCCAGCCCAGGCGTCGGCACAGGCGTTGCCCAGGCTCAGGAACAAATCGAATTCAGTCTTGACCAACTGTAACTCGTCCTCCCTGGAGGAGGAGGAGGAGGAGGGAGGAGGAGGATGAGGGAGGAGAGGAGGAGAGGAGGAGGAAGAGGGGGAGGGGCTCCGCTCGGCGGCCGTCCACCGTTTCCAGGCCTCCCCGCGCCTCCCCGGCTCCTCCCCCAGGGGTCTGGGAGCGGGAGCGCGGGGCGTCCGCGCGCTCTCCGGTCCTCCCGCGGCACCTCCCCTCACCCTCCTCCTCCTCCTCCCTCCCCCACCTCCTCCTCCTCTCCTCCTCCTCCTTCCTCCTCCTCCTCCTCCTCCTCCTCCTCCTCCCTCCTCCTCCTCCCCCCCCCCTCCTCCTCCCCCTCCTCCTCCTCCTCTTCCTCCTCCTCCTCCTCCACCCCCCCTCTCCAGTCCTCCCGCGGCCCCCTCCAGTCCTCCCGCGGCCCCCTCCAGTCCTCCCGCGGGCCTCCAGTCCTCCCGCGGCCTCCCGGGGTCACGGGGCGCTCCTGTCCGTGCGCCGTGGAGAAGGTCCGACGGGCGCTTTTGCGCCGGGGTGCTTCAGGACCCTCGTGGGTCGACCAGCGTCGAGAAGTCTGGTCTACGGAGGGCTCGGAAAGCCCGCTGCATGCAGCTGATGCGCTGCCCCTCCCTGTGCTTCTCCTCCTCTTTCGCCCGCCCCGACAAACTCGGCGGCGAGCGAGGGGGGAAGTGAGCGGGAGAGTGCCTTCTCAGAAGGCGGCGGGACTTCTCAGAAGCCCTCGCGACTTCTGAGAAGCTTTCACTGCCTTCGGGGGAGGTTTAGCAAGCCTCTCAGCAGGCTGGGGGATTTCCGAGCCTTCTGAGATGGTCCGCCTCGTCTGACTCCCCCCCCGCGCTTGCCGCCAACAGACGCCCATGGAGGACGTACGGGACTTCCCAGCAGCCTCGAGGGCCCTCACCCGTACAGGCCTCCATGAACGACCGCCCTGCTTGGATGCGCGAGCGGCACCGTTGGCGCTCGTCCGCTCAGGGGGTGGCTGGCGTATATAGCCCTGGGGCGCGCGTGATCGAGGACGAGGCAGTCGGGTGGAGACGGGGAGGTGGCCACGGACGACGCGCAGCTGGAGTACCCGACGCTCTACGCCTCGGGCAAGGCGCCCCGCCCCTCCTGCTCCTGCTCCTGCTGCTCCTGCTCCTGCTGCTCCTGCTCCTGCTCCTGCTGCTGCCAGATCGTGCTCCTGATCCGGCTCCTCCTTCTTCCCTAACTCGTGCCCGTGCTCCTGCTCCCGCCGCCCCGGAGCCCCTCGACCGGCCCGCGCGCTCGCCGGGCCGGTGGACAACAAGGTGCTCTTGCTCCCACACCCGCTATCGTGCTCCTGCTCTCGGTGCCCCTGCCACTATTCACCACCCACCAAAGCACCCCAACCCAACCCGAAGGCCTCAATTTGCCCTCCATTTCCAGTTGGGGGGGGTCGGGGAACATGGAAAAAACACGTATGGAACCCGTACCCCCCCCAACCCGAAATTCGGGTCTTCGGATTGGGTTGGGGTGGTCTGGTAGGTAGTCAACTATTCCTACTCATGCTCCCGCTGCCATTGCGACTCCTCTCCCAGTGCACCAGTCCAGTTCCCAGCTGCAGTCGGACTTCTCTAGTCCCGGGCCCGACCCTGCTCCTACTGCTGGCCCCCTGCCCCCGCTCCTGCTCCGAACACCGCTCCATTCCCTGCCTACTCCCCGCTCCCGTTCCGCCCTCCCCCCAGAGAGAGGGCAGCGGAAAACAGCGGAAGGAGAGACCGCCCCCTTCCTTTTTTGCCTCTCCCCTCCCTTGCTTTTACCCAGTCTTTGCCCGCTCAGGGAGGCGGGCGGCATGAGGAGGAGGCGTAAACGCAGGAAGATGAGGACGAGGAGGAGAACAAGGATGAGGAGGGGGAAACAATAACCGCAGGAGGACGAGGAGGAGGAGGTGGAGGAGGAGAAGGACCAGAGTAAACCAAATATGCATAAGCAATGATGCAACGCACCCTCCCGTCCCAAATCCCCCCTTCATGCGTTCCTACAAGTCTTCCTTTTCACCACAAGGAGCACCCCCCCTTGAAAGATCAGCACAGTTGGGCCTGCCATGTTGGCGGCGGCTCTACTTTGAAAGGGAACTGCATTGATCTTTCTGGCCCGTAGTCAGAAACACGGTGTCCAGCGATACCGCCCTTTCGGAGAAGGTCAGCTCCACCCATCCGTGTAACTGTTGCACAGGTTTACCCTTGTGGCCATGAACTTCGAAGACGTCTCAAGCGACAGCTCCATTCTGACAAAGCACCGCCACGGGTTCGTGCAGCGCTACGTGCGCTGAAGTTCCAGGCCGTAATGTCCACGATCTCTCTGGTGATACACCGTTTTGAGACAGACCAGTCCTCCATCCGGCTAAACATTGAGCTACACAACGAATGGGCGTGGCGTTGAGGCGAGAGCCCCTTTTTGAAAAGGAGCCACCCTCCATCCGTGAAGCGGGTGCAGCTTTCTGAAGACGAGGTGCGCGCCTTTCCGGCGGGAGCACCAGTTCGAAGACAACCCCGCCTCCATTCGCGACGTTGTTGCACACCTCCAGGTGCCTTTCAGGCACACGTGCGCGGTGCTGAGGCGAGGGCCACGCTCTCTAGCCAGGACGATCCCCTCCACGCGTGAAGCTGTAGCACACGTTGTCACGACGAGCGTGCGCGGCGCCGGGGCGAGAGCCACATCTTACCAGCCTGGAACACATCCCTATCCCCATGCTGGGCATCTCCTCATCACGATGCCAATCTTAGGGATTCCCTCACTTTTTGAGGGCGGATCCCTACGATTGTCATCGCCTTTGGGCGTGTCAATCTTAGGGATAGGGATACGTTCGAGGCTGGTAAACATTATATGGAAGCCATCCCCGCTTCGCCAGAAGGACTCCTTGCACAGTGTTATGGCACAACGTGCGCGGCGTGAGGGCGAGAGCCCCGTCTCGAAAAGGAGCCGTCCTCCATCCGTGAGGCTGCTGCACACTTTTGATGAAACTGGTGCGCGCGGCGCTGGGGCGAGATCCACACTTCGAACACCAGCCCCTCTCCATCGGAAGAGCTGATGCACACTTCTACGGCTTGATTTGCGCGGTGCTAAGGCGAGAGCCACATTTCGAAAAGGGACCGCTCTCCATTCGTGACATTGTTGCACCCTTTTTGAGGACACCGAATGCGCGCGGTGCTGCGAGAGCCACCTGTTGAAATTGATCCTCTTCCATCCGTGAAACTGTCGTGAATCTCAAACGTCAGGATCAGAAGTGCTGAGACAGTCTACGGCGAAACTCCCAGCCTGCCCTACCGACACGCCTGAAGGTACGACAGGGAGGAGTTTCGGAGTTACTTATGAGGGGAAGCGGTGGAAGAGGAAGAGGAGGAGGAGGAGGGGGAGGAGGAGGAGGAGGAGGAAGAGGACGAGGAGGAGGAGGATGAGGAAGAGGAGTAGGAGGAGGAGGAGGAGGATGAGGATGAGGATGAGGAGGAGGAGGAGGAGGAGGAGGATGAGGAGCGAGATGATGTGGGGGACCGCATCGAGCAAAGGGGATAATGAGGGATCGGGATGAGTAGCACGGGCAGGAGGAGAAATATGGGAGGAGTAGACGGGGTGAGGGGGAATGGGAGAACCAATGGCTGGAAGACGAGGCGGAGGAGGAGGAGGAGGGCGGAGGAGGAGAACGGGGTGTGAGAGGAGGTTGCAGCTGACGCCTGGCGAGAGCTTCGAAAATGCGGCACTGGCGCCCACGGTTTGGCCGCGCGTTGCTCGAGGTGTGCTGGCCCAGCAGCCGAGTCGACTGAAGGCCCTGGCTGGGGAAAGCTTCGCGTCGCACGGCTGAGTGCAGACTCGGGTGAGGGTGCCCCCGCAGCAGACGCGGTTGCCACATCGTGGCGAGGGGAGCAGTTGGCTCAAGGGCCCAATCGGCCGCTTTTCGGCACGGCAGCCGCGCGGCATCCGAGGAAGAGAGGAGCTGCCAGGAAGCAGCATGGCGCGCCTCTGGTGGGCGGCAGCCCGGGCGCTGCTGGTGGTGGCGTGGCCGCGGCTCGAGCTCACCGCGGCGCACGACGCCGCTGGCTTGCCGTCTGCCGGCGAGCCGTCGGGAGGCCGGCACCGCGGGGCCCACGATTATCCGTACGACGCCGGGGCTGCAGCGGTGACCGGCGCTGCGGAGGAGTTGGCGATGCTGTCGAGGCCGTCGAGCCGGCCGAGCAGGGAGCGCGACACGAAGCGTGGCCAGGAGACGCACTACCCGTACGCCGATCTCATATCCGAGGCGGTGAGCTACTGCTATGCCAGGCTCGTCCACTCCCCGGACTGCTGCATAGACGAGCGCTTCGCACCGGGCGTCCGCAGCAGAAGCGTCCGCCGGCCAGGGACGGAGTGGCATTGTGACAAGAAGCGCTGCTGGGACTCCGTGAAGGGACGCCGAGGCGACGACCTGCTGTGGACGCCTGAGGGCGCGACGTGCGCAGCGCCGCGCGTGCTGTTCATCCACGGCGGCAGTTGGCAGTATGGCTCGCCGAACACCCTGGGCTACGCGCAGGTCGGCTCCAAGCTCGCTGCGGCCGCAGGCGCGGTGGTCATGCTCAACGACTACCCGCTTAACCCCATGGGGAACTATTCGCGGATCGTCAAATCCTCCCTCGAGACCCTGCACTGGCTCGCCGACCACGGCCCCGACGGCCGCCCATGCGCCGCCGCAGCGCCACTCTTCGTGGCGGGCGATTCGGCTGGCGGCGGCACAGCCCTGTCGCTGGTTCTGGAGCTCGCCCGCCTGCGGGGCACTCTCGGGCGCAGCGGGAGGGGGCTGGCTGGGGCCTTCTTCTGGAGCCCTTGGACGAACCTGAAGTGCAACACGCCAGAGTACTACTTCAACGCCTTTGCGAAGATCATGGACAAGCGCGAGGGCGCTGGCTTCGTGGGGGACATCATGTTTCAGGGGCGCCCGAGCCAGAACCTGGGCTGGTTCACCGCAAACGCCCGGAGCTACGTGGGGAACAACGAGTCCCTGCTCACGGACCCCATTGCCTCACCCTTCCACGCCGACGGCAAATACCTGTCCGGGCTGCCGCCCCTGTACTTCGCGGTCGGGGGTTCAGAGTCGATCTTGGGCGACAGCGTCTCGGTGGCCCAGAGGGCCGCTGTGGAGGGCGTGGACGTGCACCTCGACATACACGTGGGCATGTGGCACGTGTTCCCGATGTATTCCGAGGGCTGCGGCAGTGGCCGCGAGCTCCGTCAAGGAGTGCACGCGCTGAACATGACGGCCAGGTTCATCCGCCACGTCTCGGAAACCGGCGTTCCGCCGTACAGGGTGATCTTGCAGGCATCTCCCCTGTCGGCAACCGCTAGCGGCGCTGTCGGCAAGATGCCCTACACCATGGTCAACTACGACCCTTTCGACCCGGCGGAAGCAACGCTCAAGGGGGACGGCGAGAAGTCCATGGCCTCCTGGACCCTCGAGGCGATGCCGAGCGGCCCGGAGGCCGGCAGCTCGCACGCAGTGCTGGCCGGCTGCCTCGGCACCCTTGTGGTCCAGGCGGCTGCCTACGGCCTCGGAACCGCGTGGCGCTCGGCGCGCGCGGCCCGCGTCGCTCCACGACACGCCGCGCTGCGCCCCTCTCTCCTCGAGGGCATGGGGGGCCCCGCCCGGCCGTAGGCGGGCGGCCCGGAGCGGCCCTCCTCCCGCCGCGCACCTGCCGGCCCGTGGCCCCAGCGGGCGGCGGGGTGGCCGCTCCGCCCATATGGGGTGCGGCGCCCCCGGCCCCCTGGGCAGTGGCCCGGCGGGGCGGCGAAGGCACGCGGAGCCAGGGCTCGAGCTCTGCAGCGGCCGCTGCGGCCGCCCCGCCCGTTTGAATTTTCTGGCGCTTCCGGGGCGGAGGTGCGCGGGCGCCTGCAGGAAGGGGTGTCCGGTGGGGTCCAGGCTTTTCGCTCTTCCAGTCCCAGCCGGCTCTGGTGCCACCCCGATGCACCACCACTGCCCCCGCCTTCTCCTTTGTGGACCCACCACCTCCCCCCTCCCTTGCCCCCTCCATCCCCCGTCCCCCACTCCGAGCTCCTATCCCTCCCTCTCCGCGCCCACCTACTCTCGCAGCCGCCCTCCCTGCCACCTCCCTGCCCGGCCTGGGGCGTGCTGCGTCAGGGGGGATGAGGGAAGAAGAGGCCGAGAGCTGCTGGCGTCGAAACATGCAGGAATGCGCGCTCTGGCGTGGATACGCTTGGAACATCGAAAGGCGTCGTAGCCATTCCGCCTCTTCGAACGGAGGAGCGATGAGCTTGGAAGGTATCGTCGGAGGGTCTCCCGTAGGTTACTTAGTTCAAACATCGCAACTTTGTGTACATGTCCAACTGCAGGCGGCAAGCCCAGTGACCGTGCCAGTGCAGCGTCGAAGACCCTGCAGGATGGTTCTGACCGAGCCCTCCTGTGCAGGCTCGGTAGAAGCATCTTGCGACCGTCGAGAAAGCTACGTGACGATGCTGTATCGTGGCCACGACGTAACGTTCCATGGTGGTCGTGCACCTCTCGGGGAGCTTCTCGCAGCGTTATTTGCGTGCGTTTTTGTTGGACTTTGCGGGATCCTGGGGAGCTTTCGGGGGTCTCTTTGGGGTTTCTTGCGCCCCTGTTGGGCGGCTTGGGGCCGCTTTGGGCCCGATTCTTCTACCCGCCTCTCCCGAAGAGTCGCGGTCGCAGTCTCAGCCCAAACTGGCGATCAATGGCTCAATGGTCCAAGGTGCTCAAGGGAAGCGTACGCTGCCACCATGGGCTTGAGCCAGAAGCGTGCAGCTGAAACTGTCGCTGCGCGTAGCACGATCAACACGAGAAGACGCCAGGGGCCACCCTGCACCCCTAAAGAGTTGGTTAGTCTTCGAGAGCCTCGTTGGGAACCCGCTCCGGCAGATCGGTGGGGGGGCGATCCGAGAAATCGTTGGCATTCTCCAACGCGTTTTTCCTACGGCGAAGGGTTCAACAGAACACGGCCAAAGCCAGTAGGCATAATGTCGGGCGCAACACCTCAATCGATTGATGGGTGTGTAGGTGAGGCCAGTTGGGATCTCATTTCCGAGCCGCTCGTGCAGCTTTCACACAGCACGAACATGACATACAAAAGCTGTTCCACGGTGCCCCTCATACTATTCATCATTCAAAAAGGGTGCCAGGATTTGTTCTGGTATCAGCTTAGAATGCTGCTTTCGGGTGCCAGTACTTAGGTTCCTGCTTTAGCTGCGTCGACAGAATAATTAGAAAACACTTCGCGACGAATGGCACACGAAATGGCCAGCTGTCGATTAGGAAACCAGTCAGACAGGAAGTAATCAGAGTCATGATGGCAGAGGAGGTCGGGGTAGAAGCGGCGATACTCGTCATGCGTATAGCGTCGAGCTTCCGCGGTAGAGGGAACGATCTAACAGCTTTTGTTTACAGCAGTCCTGGCGGCGTTTGGCATACATGTCAGCGTACGCAATGCATTTTTGACAGATTGCCATGGTGGCCAATTCACCATACGCCGCGGTGAAACACCCGAGCGATAGCATGTCTGACGTCAGTGGATGTGGGGATCGCCACAGCACCGGCATCCAGCAGCTTTTTCCGGAAGATTAGCTGGCAGAGTTAAGTGCAGCTTATGCCCGCGCCAATTGTTCTCTTGCATTTTTGTTGCACTCTTCAGCTTTCAATACTGTCTGTCACGAACGCGGGGACGAGCTTGATGGGGCGAGCTCCATGTTTTCAGCGAGAAACTGCGCATTCACATTCTTTGTTTGTGATCGTGAGGGCCTGGGGCAGTCCCCAACCCAGCTGCAGCCGATCTTGAAGGGGGGTGGGGGAGGGATGGAGCAGAGGGTGAGGGGAGAGGCGGGGGATGGTGAGAGGGTGAGGAAGAGGATAACGCACATATGGTTTTGGCGGTTCTGAGCGTGAAGGGGAAGAGGATGGGGTAGGGATAATGCAGAGAGGGGCATGGCAAGCCAGGTGCGCTCGCGCCATATCTGACATCGGACCCCTCCCACCCATCCCATTTCGTTGAACTCGCTTGTGACCGCCGACTGGTGTGTCCTAGAGGATTTGGGTCCCCGAAATGCCCCGACTGTGTGCTGCGCAATCAGCAAGGAGTCTCTGTCCATACAGTGGACGAGGAGGAGGAGGAGAAGGAGGTGGACGAGAGGAGGAGAAGGAGGAGGTGGCGGATGAGCAGAAGGTTGAGCAGGTGGAAGAGGAAGATGACGAGGATGGAAGGGGGAGAGGAAGAGGAGGACGAGTAGCAGCAGCATGAGCAAGACGAGGAACAAGCGGAGCGGGAGGAGCGGGAGAAGGAATGAGGAGGAGCAGGGGGAAGGAGGGGGCGGCAGTGATCAGGAACGAATCGAATCCAGAACCGTGGTCCGCGCTGGGGCGAGAGCGCAGTTCTGAACGACGGGAGCAAAGCGCCGACCCCGAAGTGTGGCCATCGCTGCAGCGGGAGCACCATTCTCGAAAGCTCGAGAACGTTTTGATCAAACAGCGTACTATTGGGGATCCTCTCGGACGGCCACTGGAGAACCGCTAAGACGCCAGACGGGAGCTGGCCTGCCATTGGGGAGAGTTCTCGTGAATGCCTCCGCGGACCCTGCCGCTCTTGAGCTTCCCCGCCCCCTTTGTTCAGCCTGTAGCCCAGTGGGATCGCACGGGTACTGAAACCCAGGGACTTCCACGAATTCTTCAGTGGCTTCGAGAATCCGCCCCAGGCACTGATGGAATACTCTTGCGCAGCGTGCCCGCTCCTCCAGCTCCGCTTTCTCCTCCTGCTCGTGCGCGTGCGGATTGCTCATCTTCGATTGTTGAGCCCGCGGTGCGGGAGCCACGGCCCCCTCTACCTGGGAACTGGCCTGCAACTGTGGCATCTTGGCGTGTCTCGGGGCTGTCCGAGGGCGTGTTTTGGGGGTCTCTCGGGCTCTTGGGCCGTCTGGAGCTTCGTCGGAACCTTCTGGGGACGTCGCGGGGCTCTCCAGGGGTGTCTCGTGGTCCTCTCAGGGGCCTCTGGGTGGCTTCTTCTTTTGTCGTCATTTGGGCTACGTGCAGGGTTTCCAACCTGGGCCCAACTTGGGCGAGCCTTGGGAGGGTCATGGGGGTCTTGGGGTCCTCTTGGGTCCATGCTGGCGCCTGTTTGGTCGACCGTTGGGACATTTGGAGGCATCTTGGGGCCACGTTCGAGGCTGCGGTCTTGTGGTATATCCGCAAGGCCTTCGCCCCCTGCCGCCGGCCCCCTGTCGATCAAAATGAGAGAGATGTCAGAGCTATGATGGGACGTGTCGGCGCTGCTAAGAAAACTTCTGGGAGCATGATGCGAGGGCGATTGGCATTCAGCATGCACGTTGAAATGCTGGAGCTGCTGTTGAGCGCTTTGGTTCCTTCTCGGAGCGCGAACCTGGTTCAATTTGGTTCCTTCTCGGAGCGCGAACCTGGTTCAATTTTCGGGGGATCGTGGCCTCGGGAGCGCGAGTCTGGTGTACTTTACGGGGGATCGCGTCTCCGGGAGCGCGAACCTGGTGTAGTGTGCAGAGGATTCTGGCCTCGGGCGGGCGAGCGTGCCGTCATCTGCAGCGGAGGCGTAGCCAGTCGGGGCCAGACCGCACGCCGACTCAAAATACTCAGGAGGGAGGAACCAATGGAAAGTGGCGCGGAGGAGAACATAGAGGAGGAGGGGGAGGAGGAGGACGAGGAGGAAAGGGGAACAAATAATGAGCAAGGTGGGTCTCATGGGAAAGAGGAGCTCGATGAGGAGCCTAAGCGAAAGGGAGGCAGGGAGGAGGAGAAGGAGAGGAGAGGAAAGGGAAAGAGAGAAAGATAAAGGATGCACAGAAGGCTCTCCGCCTGCCCCTAACGTGGCCCGGTCGGCGCGCTCGACAGCCGCACGGATGGAACAAAAATACATGTTGGCTTCCCAGCTGCCTCATCGGCCCTTTGGGTTCCCACGCCAGTGCAGAATCCCTAAATTACGAGTCATCCCGACCAAGGTCGCGGAAAAGCACAGGAAGCCATAAAACACATGTCATGGGCTTTTGTTTTGTTGCGGGCACCCCACATCGCATCGGGAGTTGCATGTGTTATTCGCCCTCCTCCTTTTCCTTCACCTCCTTTACCTCCTCCTCCCCCGTCTCCCCCTCCTTCTCCTCGTTCTCCTCGTCTTCCCCCTTTGCGGCTCCTTTCTCTTCACTCCTTCTCGCCAGGAGCAGAGGCCCCCAGAGGTCTGCATGTATCATTCGCCCTCCACCGGTTCCTTCACCTTTTTCACCTCCTCCCCCTCCTCCCCCCCCTTCTAGCCCCCCACGGCCCGAGGGATCTTGAACGAGGGGGCAACCAGGTGCCCCCGAAGCGCCGCAGCCGCGCTTCCGACACTTCCCCAAAGTGTTACAGCTCGGGCGGCCGCGCCCGCAATGCATAGGCTCAGAGTTTGCAGCTAGAACGTGCTTTCTCTGCGACAGGAGGGACGGTGGTATGATATTGCGCAAGAGCTTCGATCATGCACTGCGATTGGACTGCAGGGTACCCAGTGTTCGGCAGCACGTGACCTTGTGTGTCAACAAGACAGAGTAGGCAGATTTCATATATTCAGATGGCCGCGTGCTGGGGGTTCATCGGGCAGGCTTACAGGTTTGGAGTTGCTATTCAATGATAGATTTGTGCACGGCAGCATGATCAGGCAGATTTGCCCACCATCGGGATGGGAAGGAAGATTGGGGGCGGTCAGATGCAAATCCAAGCATATGGATTTCACATTCATTGTTGGCTATGCTCATACTGAGCCGCATGGTGCGTTGAAAGACCGTCGGGCACACGAGAAGAAGTGCAAGCATTTCTGGCATGGAGTTACACAGCTCTTGGATTTGTTGCCGCCACGCACATTTCCAGTTCTCATGATGGACGCGAACGCACGTATCGGATCGGTCGAATCGGACTCGCACGTGTGCACGAAGGACGTGGATGAGGAAAGCTACAATGGAGAGTATTTCAGAGAGATGCTCGTTCGCCACCATTTGTGAGCGCTCAACTCCTATTATGAGACGGGATCTACGTTCTACCACGGCTCGGGCGAGTACACGTCTAGGATCGACGGCGTGTATGCACCACCGGCTGTGCTTGCGCATGTGGAGGTGTGTGAGGTGTGGGCGAAGGCAGGAGATCGGCTGCAGATAATCATCACTAGGACTCGGCGTGACCATGTTCCGTTCGTGTTGCGATTCCGTGTTGGCCCGAGCTTCGAGTTGAAGTCTCAGGCTGCCAATGCATGGGATCATGACAAG